CAAATCCCAAATCCCTAAACTCCAAACTTTCATGTGGCGCTGCCTTGATGGAACTCTCCCCTTCCCCACAAACTTAAGACGGTTCCATCTAATGGCCCCAAGTCAATGCCCCTTTTGCCTCTCCAATGAAGATGTACTTGATCATACCCTCCTCAACTGTAATTTCAGCAAAGGGATATGGAACTATTTCAGGGATATGTCTTCTGGTCCTTCGTACTCAACCAAGCTATCCCTCAGGCAACATCTTATTGTTTGGTGGATCTCAGGTGACTCTAATTCCTTCAAAGGGAATGTGAGACTCATTCTTCCTGGCATCATTACTTGGACCATTTGGAAGGCTCGGAATCTACATATTTATGATGATCAGAGGTGCACCAAGGAGGGGGTGATTCAACAATGCTTCAAACAACTTCAAAGCTGGTGTTGGGTTAACAGGAACAAGAAATGGATGATCCATGATGAAGACTTCACCGGATGGGGTCTGGACCAGTATTGGAGAAATGGAAGGAAACTGTTGTGTATTGTTTAGCACGTTTTTCTCTTTCTTCTTGTATTCCTTTTCCTTCCTATTTTTTTAATAAAAGTTTTCCTTAAATATATATATATATATATATATATATATATATATATATATATATATATATATATATATATATATATATATATATATATATATATATATATATATATATATATATATATATATATATATATATATATATATATAAATATATATAAATATATATATATATATATATATATATATATATATATAAATTACAATCTCACTAACCTGGGCTTTAACCTGTTCTTTCTGTCTGGGAAGGAGATTCAAGGCGGAAGGATTCCACTTCTGCAATCGGTTGGGTTACAAATTTAGATGGCAGCTAGTCTAGTAGAGAAGGGGGAGAAGGTGATCTACGTGAGATGTAATTGATGGTGTTTGTCGGTCAGACTCTGAGGTTGACCTTCTTGGTTGTCTTTTGACTTTCTTTTTTGTTTTACTTTCGGGGCTTCGGTCTAGTCCTCCCCAGACGTGTATTAATTGTGTTCTCTAATAAATTGGTAAGGGTGGCCTGGACCTTACCCCACTGATTTTGGTGGTTATTTTCGGGTATATATATATATATATATATATATATATATATATATATATATATATATATATATATATATATATATATATACCGAAATATATATATAATTAATTACTAACTAATATTAATTTGTCCAATATATTTATCAACAACTTTATTTCACCTAGAAATAATATTTCCAAGTTTTATAAAGTTCATTTTTGAGTTTCCAATATTTATTTAAGATTTATTGGAATTAAATCTAAACAAATACAATTGACTCAAAAATAGGAAATAAACAATTTCGAAAATTACAATATAATTTTACTAATCATAAAAAGAAATTTTATGTTCAATAAAATTATATTAACAATTTCGAAATATATATATATTAATATATATTCAAAATTTCCGAATATATGTATAAAATACATATTTTCGGCTCAAATAAATAATGAATATTTATTTTAATGATTTATTTAAGTCCAATATTTATTCCAAGACTAAAATAAATCATTTTACTAATTTTTGAGATTAACAAATAATTACCAAGTTAAAAATAATTTCCAACTGAAAAAGTTCTACGAAAAACTATAGTTTTATACGTTGGCTCCGATACCACTGAAAGGTAACCACGGTAGGGAGGGCAGCGGAAATACAAAAATTTAAGCTCCCAATAGTAATTACTAGCCCAAGAATACGTACTAAAACTATAGCTAGAGATAGAAACTTATACCCTTTCCGGTAAAGCGGTATGAACGAGAAGTCGAGCAAAAGATGTTGAAGGAGGAAACGTAGCCGTTCAAGCGTCCAGCCTCCAACTTTGACACACGAACAATCTCCGGAGTCTACTATAATTCTTCTCCTCTCAAATGTTTAAAGTGTATTTTATTTGACATCAATAATTTTTATGATATAAAATAAATACCAAAAACATTTTAAAACAAGTATATATAAAATATACTTTAAAATAGTTCTTGTCATAATAATTATTTTCATAATTAAAATGACACTCCAAAATAAAATGTACACAATATAATATATAATGTAAATATATATATATATATATATATATATATATATGTACACCTTTTATACATATTACATATATATATATATATATATATATATATATATATATATATATATATTATATTAAAATTTTATTTTACTATTTTACAATATACAAATTAAATATTATCCCTTCTTATAATCTTACTCTTTAAATTGTCCAAAGTGTGTGACCCATATAGGCACACTTATAAAACTGGCCACAGTATTGACTCTACATCAATACTATAAGTAATAACCGGTATTTAGCAACACATTATTACCCCCAGATTATAAGTTCAGACGTTTGCTCCGTCAAAACCTTTCTACAACTAAGACTTTGTATAACGTAGATCCTTTTGTCCCAATGTCTTAACTTAGTGCAAGGGATATAAAATATCCAACTTGTAGCCATTAAGTTATTTACTGATTAACAAGTCTGACTGATGAGAACAGATGTCTAAACTCATCTCAGCATGGCCATGCATTTCCTCAGTCATACTTATCAGTGGGCCCCTACAAACTTATCATTGCCTCAAACGCCTAAATTTCGTGCTGGTGTGAGTAAATACTTTATGGCATATGATGATTTTGAAGTAATGAAATATGTTTCTCTGATTTTCAGGATTTGTTCATTTCAGGCAATTTAAGAAACCAATGTAATATGGCGCGGTGTTACGCAATTAAGCACCATTGTAGACTCCATTGCGATTTGGTTTCTTAAATTGCCTGAAATGTAGCCATTCACGTGTGTCTGTGTATGAGTTTATGGCATAGTTGTTAAGGCGACTAGGCGAGTCTAGGCGCTCGGGTATCTTCTAATCGCCTAAGCAATTAGGCGTCCGCCTAGGCGTCCTCTACGCGAGTGGCTATAACAACTTTTATATTTTATAGGTATTAATATAAAAGCATATAATATGAAATAAGTAATTAAAGAGAACATATGAACCCCAAAAAATAAAGAGTATATATTCTAAAATATATGAATGAATGTTGTTTTTCAAAAAAATAAAATTTAAAAATATATTCAAAAAAATAAGTAAATATTTTGATCTTTTTTAACTTTTTAAAAGTGAAATAATATTTGGGCCAAATGCTCTTTTAATAAACAACTATATTAATAAGTGTAAAGGCCCACTTCTCTTTTACTTCTCTTTTAATAAACTCAGCCCAAATTAGTTAACCTAATATAACTTATTGGAGAGTGAGAGAGTCGGAGGGTTTAGACGAGCCGCTGGATATCTTGACATTCGCAACAATGAATCAGCGTCGGCAAGTAAGGTAAGCTCGATCTTCCTCAGTCTCTCTCTCTCTCTCTTTCGTCTTCTTCAGATCTTCTTCTCCTCCTCCTTCCTCTCTCAGCTTCTTCCAGTCATCTTCTCCGGTGTTTGCACAAAAAGGCTAGGCGAGCAGTTAGGCGTCCATATGACCTCGCCTAGACGCTTAAGCGTCGCCTAGGCGACGCCTTGATAACTATGGTTTATGGCTGTGATGATTTTGAAGAAAGGAAATCTGTTTATGAGATCTTTAGTCTCTTTAAGTTTGAGGCATCGTAGGAATGAACGTATCTTGGTGTGGCACTACGAAATTAAACATTGTTGCAGCCATGGCGAATTCGTTTCTAATGACTCAAGCACAAAACCAATTTCAAATTTGAGCTACAACGGTGGTTAATTCGGTAACGCCACGCCATATTACGCCGGTTTCTTCAATGCCTCAAAAAAACATAGCCTGAAATATATCCATTTTACTCCGCTGTGAATGAGTTTATGGCTGTGTTGATTTTGAAGAAACGAAATCCGTTTATGAGATTTTTAGCTTTTGTTCATATAAGAGACAAACGTAACTTGGCGTGGCATTACGGATTTAACCGCCGTTGCAGCCATGGCGAATTCGTTTCTGATATGAATCATGTCCAACACTGGATTTTAAATTTGAGCTAAAACGGTTTTAGGCCCTGATATTTAGGCTTCCCAATTCTGTTACAGTGATTTTTAGGCTTTGTTTGAGGCAGTGAAGAAACTGAACGTAACTTGGCGTTGGGTTACCTTAATAACCACCATTATACCAGCCATGGCAATTTAGTTTCTTAGATTGCCTCAAGTGTATCAATTTTGTGTGGGTGTGTATAAGAAATCACGGGTGTTCAGATTTTGAATTTATGAAATTAATTAAGTTGGCACCTCTTTTTGTATTGTCCGGAAAAATGTAATCACTGTTCGTAGAACCTCCTTCTCATAATCTTCAATGATTGGATGAGATTCTTCGTCACTAATTAGATGATAATATTATGAGGAAACAACTTCCTTAAAACATATATCACCTAGTCTGGCATCCTCCACGACATCCTGTTCAAAGAAGCTTTCACAACTTAGGAGAGAATCAATAAGGATTGAATCTTCTTGTGCCTTAGAAGTTGGTTCTTCTACGAAGACGTCATCTTCATCTTTGACATGGTTGCCAAAGACATCTTCGTATTTGCAGTCATGTTGATTCTCATATGCTGCTATGATCCTTACATGCTCTTCATAAGAAATGGTTTCTTTATTTGTGCACCTCCAATAATGATGGCCATAGCCACAGCACATGTAGCACCGTTTAATAGGTCCTTGAAGGATCACCTCATTTGCATAAATAATCTCAAGATTTTTGAAGTATCTTTGGATATCCATATCTCAACAACCAGAGATTGGAATGTCGTGATTCCAACTCTAAAAGTTAGATATTGAAGTCCTTAAAGACGTATCAAAATTTCAGAGCCATTGAAGTATGTCTGCTACCTCGTTGGAGACAAAAGAAGCAAGCTAGACAGCATTTGGACAGGACTGCATTGTCAACTTTGGTAGGACGTATCTCGCTAACCACAACTCCGAATTGAGTGAAATTAGCGGCCAGACGTAGTAAAAAAGGTTAAACTTTCATACTGAAAGGTTTCACGTCGAAATCCGTTTTGCACCTTCCTCCGTGATCACTACTTTGGGGCTGAGATTTTCAGGAGCAATTTCAGCATCCTTGTTTTTGTGCAACGTGGGTGAAGCTGGTCCTCCAATAATCGTCGAGACTTGAGAAAGTCGTCGAAGTTGAGCTTTGATACCAGATGTTGTACCCGAGACCCGAGGTCTTAACGAGTAGCTAATTTGATGGCGGGTTTGCGGAAGGAAATGGATGATGGAATTGAAGGGATGAAATATGGAGTGTGGGAAAGAGTTCTTTTTGGTGTTTTTAATGAGAGAAAAGAATAAGTTTAAGAAGAAGAAATGGTGAGGAATGAAATAGGAAGAAATAAAGTGAAGGGATAAACCAAGTTGGTATTAAGAGATATGACACACTCTT